ACGAAATGCTTCTGATGGAGTTAGCTGCTTTCGTGGCCATTGCAGTCAGTGTTTCTTGTCTTGAAGGCGACACTTTCCGTCCTTTGATGGGTGGAACAAGTACAGATGCAAAGAAATCGGTGCGCAAACAGAGATAAAGTAGGGGAAGCCATTTTTTCAAGGAGCTGAAGTGTTGGCGCTTCGATCTTCAGGCCTGAACCTGATTTTGAAGACGCCGTACTCCCGTCAAGTAAAGTCTATGGACCATCTGCACTCGTGCTTGTAAGTGCGAGCAAGAGGCAAGGAACCAGGAACGCTCAAGAGCAGAGCAGAACCAAGTTTGGCGCAAGAGTCCAATTTGGCCGAGAGAAATGCTCCAGAGTGCAGCCCTGTCACACTCAAAATTCCATCGCTCTCCAATGCCTGGGTGTCGCTTTCGAGACTGCTGTACCATGTCGACTTAGAAATGTTAGATGAGTGGGGCGAATTTCATCTGCGCTTCGAGCCGTGCGAATGTTGTCACTCAAGTCGACAAGCCGGATTGCATCAGCTTCTGCTTGATGGTATGCGGGTGGATGCGACGACCGGTGATGTCGTAGAAGCGGCTGGCCAGGCGAATCCAACGCTCTTCGTTGTCGTACATGAATGCGTTGCAGAACCAGACAAGCTGAAGACCTGTTAGCCATGCCCATCATTGGGCTCATTCGGCTGAGCGAACTTGAAACTTACGTCGCTGGCGCTGAACATCTCGTCCGGGAACACAGTGATATTCTGTAGACCGTTGATGTACTGCGGCATGCTGATCTGGGGAGCCGAGGAGACTGGCTCACGACCCTTCTTGGCTTCGGACGCCTTGTTGTCTTTGCCCTTGGACGCATTGGCCTTGGTGGCTTGATGGGATTTCTTAGCTTGCTCGCCCTTCTTCTCACCAGCGTTGTTGGCGGCGGCAGCCTTCTGCGCGGGGGTGGCAATCTCGTCGTAGCGCTTCTGGATGACTTCCTTGGGCTTCTTGAGAGCCTTCGCAATATTCTTGATTTCGTCTCCTCTGTCCTTCATTTCCTTGAGCGTCGCGTCCTCCTCAGCGGTGAAGCTGAAGTCCGGTTTGCCTCCGGCGGGCTTGGAGTTGTTGGCTTTCTTGGCCATGTTCGCTTCGACGGTCGGAGTCTCGGTGGCAGCGGGAGTCTCGTTGGCGGCGGTCGCTTCAGGTTCAGTATTGTCGACGGGCTTTGGCTTCGGATAGGCGTACTTGCGCTGCTGCACTTCGAATGGAGTCAGCAAGAGTGATCCGAATGCCTCCCAGTAGCCGAATTTTTCAGGATCTGTCTTGAAGTTTTGGCCGACAAAGGTCTTGACTCTGTCCATGTTGTTGTTTGGTTTGGCCCAGGGTCTCGGTCGGGTTTGTTGATATGGCGGCGGTCACCATCACGTGCCCATCTGGCCGACATGCCGCAGGCGCAAAACACACAACTGGGGAGGATTACTTGCCCTTCTATCATAGGTAGGGCCTCCGGCGAGCCAGTAGACCAGGTGGCCTCTCATGAGTGCCTTTTTCTCTTGCGGGCTAATGTCGTCGGGTGCCATTGGCGACGTGAAACTCGCACGTTATAAAATGAGGTGTGCAGGCGGCCGGAATCAGCGCAGCAAAACAAACTGAAAGCGATTGACTAATCTGGTGTGCTTGGCTGTCTTGTCTGCACGTATGAGATTGTTGCGGTCTGCTATGGGATAGAAAGCTTTCCAAGGCAAAGGGGGGCGGCGACGTCAAGTGGTACAAAAGTATCTGGGCAGTGTACACACCGAAATGGCGTGGACGTGACTAAGTCGCCGCTCCCGCATGCGCTGTCGAGCATTGGAGGCAGCAAAAGCAAACACTACACCATCGTCGCTTGACGATGGTGGCTAAGCGAACCAGGCGAAGGAAAAGAGACAAAAAGACAAAAGAGTTCGGCCGGGCCAGTGACCTACATCTCTCCCCCGTCAAGGAGTAGCCCTAGGACGTAGCTGGATTCGACCCGAGGACCTTCAGTTACCTCCTAGGAAGGTTCCCTAAGCCTCGCCACTGGGTGCGTGATTCGGTCCTAAATCCAGCCTCAAGCTACATGCTAAGCCATTACGCCATATTGGAAGCCCCAGTCCTCATGCGTATTACCTCAATGCAGGAGAGTTGTTCGCCCATCGTCAGGATGGATACTTGTTCGCAATTAAGGCCTATAAAGGGAGGTCCGGCGGTTGCCCTCATTGCCAAAAATCGGAGCGGCGCTCACCAGGCACCGCCTGCGCCCACCACGCACCGCCTGCGCCCACCCTCGACACGGCCTGGCGGTAGATTCGTAACCATTCCTGGTGTTTATTACTGTAATCCCATCAGCGCCAGAACTGCTTGGCGTGTTTTCACTCCACGGCGTCCACGACAACTTGCCATGCAGTCCAAAACTTTGCAGCCCCAACTTTGCGAAGTCATGGGCACCACGCCGTCTTGCCACCTGGTACCAATGTCGTGCAATTTCAAAGGTCGAATAGCGACATGGTGGTTTCGTGCCCACAGCACAGTCGCCCTCAAAAGCAATGACAGCTCCTTGAGTTCATCCGCCGTGGGATATGGCGGCTCCTCGGATTTTGAGCGTTATTGAGGTTGCTCCAATAGCCAGCTCCAACGAGTCTGTGGCCACAACCCAGAATCCTTGGAGTTGAGACTGACTTTGATATCCGCTTGGGCCAAAGGAGAAGAGTGGACCTTGAGAATGAAAAATATAGCCTCGAGCCGCCACGATACAGCCTTGGGCTTGAAAGTGGAAAGATCAGAAGACTTGAATGAAAAACTGAGGATGACTCGTGGCTGCGAAGACGAAAGACTGGAGGATTTAAAACCGAGGAAAGATCACATCGTCTGACGACGACCGACGTATTGAAAGTTGCGATGAAATCTGGGAAGCTGCTCAGCGGGCAGTTTGCCCCAACTTAACTCATAATTTGTCCATGGTGGATTTCGACCCGTCTCCCAGCGAACGACAAGGCTGAGGTCGAAACGATGGCAACGTGGTGTAGCGAAAGAGTCTTACCGATGGCGTGAAGTGAGGTTTTTGATCTGCGACAGGGATCGGCGGCGGAGACACTTGTCTCCGAAACTGCCGCGTCGAGCTGTAGGGATCAACGATCAACACCCCGACCTGCTAGCTGTCCAGATCCACCACTTGCCCAACCTTTGCGTTCACCTCCTTGCCAATTGGCTTCCGCGAAATGCGCTTCTCCGCCGCCGCCGCCGTCGCGGCTCTGAGCTGCATGTTCAGCGCGACGTCTGCCCACAACATCCAGCTCAAGGCACATACGCGCGAGTGTTTCCACGAACAGCTCCATGTCGACGACACGATGACGGTCACATTCCAAGTCGGAGATCGCGAATTCGGCGGCAGCGGAAATCTCGACATTGACTTTTGGGTACATTGAGAAGGGTTCACCTGCTCCACACTGATCAATGCGCTGACACGCCTTAGATTCAAAACCCGAGCAACGGCATGCAAGTCCACGAGCGCAGTGTTTCCTCCGGCGACCACTCTTTCGTGGCCAAGATGGATGGCACGTACACCTATTGCTTCAGCAACGAGCACTGGTCGGCAAACACAAAGGAGGTCTCCTTCAACGTGCACGGGATTGTCTACGTTCCAGAGTCTGAGGCTCCTCAGGATCCGCTCGAGAAAGAGGGTAAGCATACTGGACACGGGGAAAAATGAAGGATCTGCGCTAATCAAAGCAGTTCGCCAACTCTCCGAGCTCGTCGCACAGGTCAAGGACGAACAAGGCTACATCGTGGTCAGAGAAACGGTTCACAGAAACACGGCCGAGAGCACCAATGCCCGAGTCAAGTGGTGGAGCATTTTCCAGCTCCTCGTGCTGGTTGGGGAGGGCATTTTCCAGGTCTGGTGGTTGAAGAGATTCTTCGAGGTACGCTAACTTCAGCATCGCATCACAAATGAGAGAGCGACTCACGTTGCCAAACAGGTCAAACGCGTCGTATGATTCCATCAGAAGCGTGACGTTGGGCGTAGTACAAATAACGAAGACACGGATTTTGACATCCTTTGTTTGTTTCTCAATTTTAAATTCACGACATGCGCAAGTCCGTTGAGCCATTCGAACCCCTCATGCGACACTACGAAGTCTCCGCCTCGCAGTATACTCTACGAAGATATCGGTGACAAGCCTCGAGAATGTGGACCAGCTCGAGCGTCTCCGAAGCTGCCCAGAAGAAAACAGGGGAAATCCAGTCTACGCTGTCGGTCTTGGGAGCATTCATGCTGATGTGCGGCAACGCCTCCCTGTTTCTGGAGTAAAAGCGTTTTCCAGCCAGACATCGGAAGAACAACCTCACCGCTGCGTAGCCCAGGGCTATTACAGGGTATTACTTGCGTGTCAGTTGGAGTCGATGGAGTTCCCTGGTTATCTTTGCGGTTTACTCTCCCAGATGGAGATGGGGAAAAGAAATACCAAACATGTCTTTGCTTGCATTTGAAAGCCTCATCGGCCAGCCTTCCCTGGTACTCTTGAACGTGAAAACGACTTCGTTTGTGATCACAGTACGTTAAACCCATCATGCTTCCGGCGTTTTCACAAGGAACTATTAACTTGGGCAAAAGAAACGACACTGTACCTCATGGCACTCCGGCCGCGTCTACGGAGCATTCATCCATAAATGTGGATGATTCATCAATGTAGCTGTCTTTTGCAGCTACAGCTGTGCCCAGCGAGCTATTATCCATCACTACAGCTAGACTCAGGGAGTACCATTTTTTTCGGCACCTGTCCTGGCGCCACACGAAACAGAACATTCTATTCACTGCAGCCCAAAAGTAGACCGTCTGAAGCCAGCCTCACATACCACCCAGCATACAGAAGGACCAAGAACTCGATCCGACTCGCAGCAACACCGGTCAGCCAGCTCCGCCTGGCAGGGAAACGACAAAACAGATTCACAGGCAAAAAGAGATGTCCTGCCGAACCGTGTTCAGACGTCTCTCTCACTTCACTGCCCCCTATCGGAGTCGAACCGATGGCCTCGACATTACTAGTGTCGCGCTCTACCACTGAGCTAAAGGGGCTGCTCCTGTTCAGGGGTAGATGAAGAGAAAGGGCGGAGAAGTTGCATTATGAGCAAAAAGAAATCTGCAGGTCGAGATCCTGACTCGAAACTGGCGACGTGCTCTGCCGTTCCGCAATTTTTCGCATTTGAGAGCGCTCTAGGACCGCAAAGGGAGACAGAATTCGGTTGACGATGGTGTTGTGCGTGGTGCACGAGACGGGATGCGGTCTGTGGCGCGGCCGTTGGTTGGTGGCCTGCACACGGACGACTCGGACGGATTTCGGTCAGCAGAAAAGCGCTTCAGGAGGCGGACACGCGGATAGAGCTCCGTTTTGATGTCACTTCTCTCAGCTTTGGTTGCTGAATCCATGTTCTTTGCGTTGTTGTGGAGCGGTTTGCTGGGTTGTGGTGAAAATGATGGTGCGTACCACTTTTTGCGCTGGGATGTTTTCAGGAAGCGCGATTTGATTGCCGGAGCTTCTTGCTGACGGAACAGCAGCAGCGCTCATACTGCATTGCGCTCAATTTCTTCAGGCTGAAGCTGTGATAACAAGAGGGACCAATTGCCGACAAAGGCAGTACTCGCTGTGGTGATCATGCTGGCCGGATTATTTAAGTTTAAGCTTCAACTTAAGCTACAATTAGCCCCGAGCTTACATTTCGAAAGAACAGGACGACACTGCAGTTGATTCTTCCATGACGCAGGGGATTTGATTTGATTTCCCATGCGATATGGTGCAATATGGCCTAGAAGGCTCAAGTTTCGAATGAATCGCGGCGGGCACTCGTTCTTCGTATAGCAGTCAACCTCCATCTGACTGACCAGATGTGTCTAATCAAGTCGAAGCTTCAAAACGAAAAGGTGCCGCCACGCATTCATGCAGAAGCCTATATGCAGAGGCCTATAAGACCTATTTCTCAAGTACATCCAACCGAGACCTACCCAAAAAGGAAATCGGACCGACAGTGGAGTGACACGGGGAAACAGCCAAGCGAGCCTCACGACCCACCCTCAGGCGCGTAAGGACTCGAGGAACGGGAGGTACCAACTCCTATTGGCCGTCACCTTGCGGGTGATCCTCCTGCTTTAATTTTGAGACGCACTTCGAGGGACGCCGAATAAGTGGCGCGTGAATTTCGTGCAACGGCTTCAACACGCTGCCGAATCATATTGAGCAGCACTCTGCATTACAGGTGGCTTGTTTCTCGTGTTTGCTTTGGCTCCAATGATGCCACCAGCGAGTCTGGCCAAGAGCTGACTTCTCCGTCCACTCGGATTTACAGCTTGGACCCCGTTGTTCTCATCACTCACTTGAGCTCCTTTTCAGGCACCATGGACATTACCCCGAGTTGCTGCCTCTTTTCTATGACGCGTAATTTTGCAGTGGCGATCCGGCCATTTGCCCGACTCAAGACTTGACATCAATGGCGTACGGTATCTGGAGAGCCTCGTCACTGGAGTGAGGACGTTTCCATGAGTTCTCGAAAGTTGTCGTGGTTGCTTTCCAGTGTTGGAGCAGTATTAACAAAGAGAAAGAGAGATCTGACACGAATCGTAACATGGCTTTCAGCGTGGACTGCTGGCTGACCGTGGGACACGCCCTTCCGGGGATTCGACAATGTTTCATGAATCCATCTCCGTCATTTGAAACCCACACGGACCTGCGATGCTCGGAGCTACCCGCCGAAAGGTGGTATTATTTAGGTGGTCCCCCAGAACCGCACTTCTGGCTGGCAAGCATTTCATCATACTCACACTCCTTTATTCCAGAGACCGGATCTCAGAACAACACCAGAAAATTTCAAGATGCTCAATTCAATTCTTCTCTCCGCTGCCGCCCTGGCTCTGGGAGCCAAGGCCGAACTCAGCAGTTATGACGGTTACGAGTATGGCAACATGTTCTACCTTGGCCCGACCACTGGCGGACAGTACATCACCAAAGCCACCTACTCTCTGGTCCCGCCCAGCCCGCCTACCGACTACGTCACATCCAAGGCCGACACCACCTGGCTTTCCCTCTGGATTGGCATTCAGGGTGACCCCACGAACGCAAACGTCCTGGACATGGACTTTGTGCAGCCGCTCCTGAACTGGGCTCCCAACCAGGAATCTCAGGGCTGCAGTGCCGACGCCAACCACTGGTGTGTTGCGGCGAGCACGTACACTCCTCGTTAGTCGTCTCCATGGACCTGAAGCTGCTTCTGTTGCTAACAATTGAGCAGAGGGCCAGAACGGACAAAACTACGTTGCAATTCCCTCCGATGCCACCCTTGACTTTGAAGGTACTTTTCAACACTTGCTCCGCCACTATCCAACTTGCTGATTGCATCCAGTCTCCGTGAACTCCGAGACCAACAAGATCGACCAGAAGGTCTGGATCAACGGCGAGCTCAAGTCTGAGCAGTCCGACGGTAAGAGAGCCCACAAAGTGTCGTCGACAGGCCAAACGCTGACAGTCCTCCAGCCCAGGGAATGAAGCCTTCCGTGTTTTACTCTGGAAACGAGTGCTACGACTACGGCTGTGGCACCCTCGCTTCTTACAGTAAGTTTGATTCTCGGCTTTGATCGCGGTGAAGACAATTCTGACAGTTTGTAGGCTGGTCCAACATCACCCTCCACATGAACGAGGCCGACGCCAAGTACGACTCCACCTTGACCCTGACCAACGCCACCTCCAGCGGCATGACCACCTCCGACGACGGCCTGACCTGGCACATTGACTCCATCAAGATTGACGAGGACCAATTGACCACTCAGGAGAGCTAGATGTCCCGCTTGCATTCTAGGCGTGGTGGGATGAAGGCGCTGTCTTGCTTTGTCTAAAAAGTTGTTCCGCATTCCGTGTAAATAGTTGGATGTGAATTCATTGAGCAAGTCAAGTTGAAAGTGCTGCAATGACAAGTGCAACCATTCGATGAAAGAGGTGGCCGACCGAGCGAGTCACTTGAAACCAAAGGCATCCAGTCTCTCAATATGAGTAGCCACAGTCAAAAGAAATGGGACACCCTGAGTCTGATTGCGGCGATGAATGACCGCTCCCTAAGCGCTACTGTAACAGTGAATGAATGCTCCGAAAGCGTAACCACGGTAGCAAATCAATGCTTCCTAAGCGCACTCGCGTTGCCAGGAGGTCTCATTCCTCTCGACACCCACTACGCTGCGTAATCAGAGTTCTCTGCTAATTGGACACATATCCAGCAGACTGCAGCGTGAAGATCTCCTATTTAGACAAGCCGGTATGAACGCACGACATTTACCGAGGTTTCCGAGCCCAGAAAATGTCAATGGGGAAATATGTGTGAATCTGCACAGTTATTTATTGTCAGGCATTGAAAGCAGGAGGAAAATTCCAGGCCAGGACTCACCTGGGGATTGTACATGTCAGCTTTGGCCTGCGGTAGAAAGCTTTCCACCTCCTCTGTTGACCATCCAAGTCCTTGGGTAAGCGTCTTCACGCTCAGACCGTGCAAATTGTCGCCAATGTCTTTCTGGAAGAGTGCACCCATGGCCTTTTCCTTGTCGCCTCGTGGCCAAGGGCCGAGTGGGAACTTGGTATGAGTCTCTCGAATATCTCCAAAGCCAGCTTCCGCGAGGTATTCTCTGAATTTCGCCGTCGCCATACTGTCAACACCAAATTTCTGGAAACCTTCGTACATGGAGTTACCCCACTTCATCGCAGCGGAGTCTGGGCCGGCGCTGCCGTCGTCGCAAGCGATTGGAATGTGGAATTCGTGCAGTTCGATCCACCCTCCCGGCTTGAGTGAATCAAATGCTTGTTTCATGACTTTTTTCCAGTCCTTCACTCCCAAGAGTAGAGTTCGTGTGTGGATGAAATCAAAGCGCTCTCCATAGACCCAGTCATCGTTGGCGTCGTCAACGATGAACTGGCAGTTTGCCGGGACATTGTGAGGTTGAATGGGCGAGAGGTCAGTCCCCAGGACCTGAACCCCTGGATGAGCATCGGCGAATTCGATGCACCAAACTTCGTCTCACTGTCAGCTCACAGGGAGCGTTCGGACGATGAAAACGAGAGAAACGAGAAAAGAGCTTACCGCCAGTCCCACAGCCAACATCGAGGACCTCATTCAAGGAATCATGGTCTATAGGGGCAACGTAGAGGTGGCCGTTGAGTGCAATTTCCCACACTCTGTGCTGAAGATCTAGGGATAATCAGCAAGACTGAAGAGACAAGTACGGGTCTCAAGCTTACTCAAGCGATCTACTTCTGCCTTGGAAACAAGTCAACAACTGTTTGAAAACGGAAGGGACCGACAAACCTCATCGTTTGGCAGAGAATACCCTGGGCCATGGTCAAACTTTGTGCAGGTGATTCGGTGCAGAGTACTCACGTCCATCCTCGATTCCATGATATCGACGACCATGCTCGTATCGGTAGTTGGTTACACTAGATGCCAAAGATGTGGTCGTTCTGTTAGAGTTTTTAGAGTTTTGGGGGATCAGATTAGACAGTATCAACAAAGTGCTTACGAGTCGACAGCGTCCCCAAACGTGGAATCGCTGTCAGTAGAGGACTGCAGGACATTGCGCAGGTCAGCGCCATGGCAGTGTGCTTGTGCGAGCAAGGCAACTGCACGTGGCTCAAAAGGAAATGCGGGGCGCGTCTCTCACGTCTACCAAAAGTTCTTCCCCCACGATGTGGTCGGCGGGGGTGGCAGCTGCAACCGTGCTGGGCTGATGTTGCTCTTCAGACATGGTTTTGGCACAAAGGCTTGATGCAGACAGGAATTGAGGGGTTGGAGCTGGCGATGGATAGAGATAAAGATGATTGCAACTGATGCGCCCAAGCGCCGTTGAAGGATGACGAAAAGACGATAGCCAATTCTCCAGATTTCGATGCCACGCCGCAGTAGCGGACGGAAGCACCATCAAACGCTCTCGCGCGGCCCGCCATCAGCCGCTTTCAGAAGGTGAGTAATGAGATCGACGCAAAGCCAGGCGCTGCAAGACTGCGGCTGAGTCCAACCAGGCCGATTTAGAGCAGCGGATGTCTATCCCGG